GAGCCACCAGAATTTGCTGGTGAACGGTATAAAGCCTCCTTAATTCAGAATCGTTTATTTTTGATTCCGTTACAAGAACTTCCGGATTCAACTGCTAAATGTTTGAGAAATTGTGAGGTGAAGAAGAATAGGTAGTGCGCAGTCACACAAAAACATGCATATGTTCATGAAATATGGAACGCCACAAGAGATATTTTCCATTTTTCAAAATCCATTATAATTATTTTTAATTACTATATTTAAAAAAATTTGAGTTGGAAATAAAACGGATCAACACATACGTAGGCAATTTTCAAATATGCAGTTATGTTGTTGTATTTATTTAAAAATATATACAATTTAAAAAATATGCATCCATATGTGTGTAAGTATATATTACTAAACTATGATAAGCAGAAGACTGCAAACTTTTATGGCACGTGCGACTGAATTATATATTTACGCTGACTATTTTAAGATTCCGGCCATTTTTTTTTTTTTTTGTTTGAGTTTTTCTCTCATCTGAAAAATGAAAATGGCTACTCCAAACGACAGTTTACCTTGCTCTAGCGGATAATTCCCATTTAAATGGAAAAAGTGCTCAACTTCAAAATTGAATATGTCGTGCTGAAAACAGAGCAAAGATGAAAAGCACCAGGCGGCGACATTCGATTGGCAGTACGCCAATTGCCCAGACGCAGACGTCAAAATGAAATTTTCCGCAACAGCGGCAAGAGGAAGATATGTTTTCCAAGGAGAGACGAAAAGAAAAAAATTAAAAAAACTTAATTCTTTATTTGACATCGTTTTGAGCGTATAACTTAGTGGATGAAAAGAAAATGAGACGAAAATAGGAAGATGGAAAAATAACATCAAGTTATAAACAAAAATATTTGCAATCGATTGGAAAATTATTGAAAAATGTGGAATTTTTATTACGAAGCAATAATTTCAATAATTTTAGCGATTCTCTCATGCGTTCCTAAGTGGTAAACAAAAATTGGTGCAATCTATAAACAAAGCGACACTTGTGTCATCTTAACACTTCGCCGAAATTCTCTTTCAACTTTCTGTTTGTGTATCAATTCAATCAATTTGATGAGATCCATCAAAACTTTAAGATATTATTTACAAATATCGCACGGATGAATGGCAAAAGCAAACGTTGTTGCATACAAGACATTGCAATACCTCCGAGTGCAGCGCGGAAAATAATAAACAGAATTTACAAAAATAAACACGAAAATCGATTTGACTAAATTACTTTGCACAACAAACATCTGAGCAAAAGCCAAGTAAGTACATATCTGCACACACTTTCATAAATAACAACAAACAAGAGGGCAAAATAAGAGAGACACAAGATTGGTTTCGTTTTTGGCAAAGCGAATTGTGCCCCAAAACCGCAGTAATGAAGGCAGCCACGAACAAAACAAGCGCTCAAATGGTACAAATGTCTCAAAGAAACTAAATCAACGACTAAAAGCGCCTTGCATGGGTCAAGCGATGTCAATGGTCAAGGGGCTAGGGTCAATGGACTTGCCACTACATTGGTCACAGCAGCAACAGGCAATGCCCTTTTATTAGCAACAAAAACTGAACAAAACAAATACAAATATAAATAAAACCTACAAATGTATTCAAAAAGCATAGGCCAAACGAACTTCTTTGGTGCAAACGAAAAAAAGATTTTTTAATAGGAGGAATCGATCATTTAAAAACCCCACCAGAAGGAGCTGTACTTAAAAAGGCTATATCAGGTTATTACGTTATAACTTTGGTGGTGCCTGATGGATTCCGACTGTCCGTGCGAGACTTAGCTGGTGTAGGGCAGGCACATTTTAGATATGTGCTCCCAGACGGTTATTGTTATGGTTATAGCTGTTCGCTAACCCCACTGAGGTACAGGTTTGATTAATCTAAGTCGCCGAAGTCATCTAGCGGGAGAACGCGGTTAGATGAGTTGGTCGTGCGGAGATTCTCGACGTGCAAGGCATACGTTGGATACGATAGAGTCGAGTCTGGCTCCCCGACGGTATTGACCGGTTGTAGTGCTTGTAATTTTATATGCATATAATCTTGCTCGACTTGCTAGTTAGGTCCTTTGGGAATGGATTTCCATCTGTTTCGTGCAATTTAATTGTCCGTTGCTAACGGACAAGAGATGGCAGCTTTCTCGCTACTGAAAATGTTAATTAGACTGGTGGATTGGAGCGACTTCGAACTGTCGAGCCAATGAGCTTAGACTTTTCCTACACGATTTAAGGCAATATGACCAGTAATACCACCTGGGTAGTTGCATTCTGTATCTTCCCATAGGTACCCACTAGAGCTCTACATATCCTTTTTTTTTACCTAATACTTTCAATTGAAATATGGCAGCTTTATTTAATAGGAAGGAAATAATCTAATTTGCCTAAAGGTGTTGTTAACTGCTTTAGTATAGCGGAACATTGAACTTTGGGAATGAAAATGTAATTATATATGGCTCCTGTAACACAGCGCATTCTACATGAGCTTTTCTTCGAACCGAATTCCTAAATGTATTTCAACTACTCTAGAGTGGGTCAATAACAATATTTCATCAGTATTTTCTTGTACATTGGCGTTTTTTTTTTACTAAATTCATCCTCCTGTGTTTCGAGTCTCAGAAAATCCAATGGTTCATTAAAATAAAAAAAATAAAAACAAATAAAATCACATAACAGAACATAATGATTTATTGTTATTATTCTAGAGACCAATTGAAATTGAAATAAAACATACATCTATATACACATATACATAAACATCTACTAAAAGCACAAAATTGAAATTCCATGTAATAATTCAAAAACATTTTCAAATTAGTCGTAAATTACAGAAGTGTGTGTGTGTGTGTGTATACCATTGCCTATTTTGAAAATATGAAAAAGAACACACTAGTTCACCAAATTTTCTGATCCCACCTAGCGACCGGCGGAGAATTTATGTTTCCTTATTGGTACCTTGAAGTTGAAGAGCTCATTCTCGGTAACATATAATGTTCCAACTTATCGATTTCAATCAAGTGTGGCGCAGTGCAGCAATCAGCCAGCCACACAAAGAGCATTTTTGTCCTTTTCACACGACGAAGCAAAGCCCAGCAAAGAGAAGAATGGAAACATTTGTTTGTGCAGCCTAAATTTAGTGCGCCCTCTAGTGCGTGTGCAACCGAAGTGTGAAGATCAGCGCCGCTTGCTGCCGCTTTTGGGATTTGAAAGGCGGCAGACAGACACCGCAAAGTACAAATAAACATATGTGCATACATACAAACTAATTTCATTACAAATGTACATGTATGTATATATTCGTACCGATGTAGTGCAGCCGTTTGTGACACAAAGTTAAATTATGGGCGCGTCGAGTGATTTGACTGGGTTGCATTAATTTAAGGCAGCTTCGTAATTTATAACAACAACAGCAAAATAGTAAGTAAAATAAAATGAAATTTGTCAAAGAGATAGTGAGCGCACTTCTTTTTAAATGCATGAATGAATTTCCACAAATGCTGCAACAACAACAGCGAGCGATGAGACATGAGTAGCAGAATATGCTATTAACAAGCAAAATAACAAATTTACTACGTCTCGCTAAGTTGTTGTTATTCATGTTCTTGTTCTTGTTCTTGTTGTTGTTGTTGTTATTGTTGTTGTTGTTATGTGAGAAGTCTTGCAGCGGCTGAAAAGCAACAGTTTGTGGTGTGAGACATTGGCAAGTCAAGTCAGAGTCTTACACCAACTACATGTGTGTATACAAACATACAGAAAATATATAGCATATGCACGTAGATAGATGTTTGTGTGGTTGTTTGGAGCTGTGGCACATTGGCAACCTGGCTGTCTGAGACTGAGTCCCAACGGAAACTGGCGCCATCGTCGGAGTAAACATTGTAGTCTTTGCCAATACAGTAAACCGCAAGTGCCATTGTGGCACAGAGGCAACCGCACTTTGGTGCCATAGTGTTTAGAGGATAACAAAAAATTGAACAGAAAACGTTTTTTATGCACCGGTACTTTAGAAGAAATCTCACGCCTCATAATAGTTAAACGTGATATTGAAATTTATTTTTAATGAAATCCTCGAGCTTTACAAAGCAAATATAATTAATTAAACACACATGTAGGCCCTCCGTAGTCCACGGAAAAACGACAAACAGTCTACTGTTCATTCCAGCTTTTTTCTCGTTTTGCAATAAAGATTGCATTTCTCTGAAAATACCATTGCCGTTTTTGTATTATGTATTTCTGCAAGCGACCACTTGTCGCCCTCTTTTGTATGTTGCTCTTTTGTGGCAAACAACATAACAAAGCGAATTGCATGAAGTAAAGAGCACGATATTGCTGCCGCCATGTTATTGTCGCCGTTGTAATGCGACATTGTTGTTGCTGTAATGAGGATTGGAGCCGTACACATGGACATACTCGTACGTACTCCAGTACAATAGGCGCAACTTGGATGACGCATCAAAAGTGCAGGCACCTTAATCAAGCAAGCAACAGTAGAACAGACATACATACGAGTACATACTACATATGTACTCACCGTACACAAAATTTACAAGACCCATGAAAGCCAAGAGCACAATTTTTTTGATGAGAAAGTTCTCATAACGTTCAGCTCGAACGCTGTTTTAAGGGGGCATAGTTTTGATACTGTATCCAGGCCTAAGTCTAGCATCTGGAGTTCTTCGTCTTCAATGATGAAGGTAGGATTCGAATTCACATAAAAACAATTAAGGGAAGATGGCGCTTATGGCTGGTCTATAATCAAGTATGCCCTTCTTGGTGTATGTACTTAGGAGGCAAGTCTGTCTGGGACGTGCTTCGATATATCGAAAATTAGCAGTAGATCCGAGTCTGAAAGTCGGAAACAACCAGGCCAATTATATTTTTAGGTTAACATTATTCAAAAAGTCTTATAAGAATTACTTATCTATTACTTAAGTCAATATTATAAATAAGTATTATAAGATACAAAGAAAGGTTTATAATTAAGATTACCAAATAATTACGCTTTGATGCTTGCCAAAATTAATTTTGTTTATTCATCCGCCGTTGCAGGTATTCCACATTCACCCACGCGCTGAATCATTTCCATTCTCTAATGACACTCGTTTCGTTTAATATAAGAAAACTTCAAAAAATTTATTTTGCTAAATCTTATTGGGTTAAGTTTGGAACATAAATCTTGTCAGATATTGTTTGCACAGTTGTCAAATATTACGGAAATGTTTTTTCTATTGATTTGTATAGCACAGGAAGCAACCATATAGCAATTAAATTATTTATAAAAATAATATTAGCTACAATGTCAGCAGATTATGTTTTTCCCTACAGCACTGATATAAACAGCGCAGAGCACCGCGACTGAAGCAATAACACGAAGAATAGAATGGCAGACCGCGACGTCGACAGCTAACACAACAACAACAATGTGTAGATTAATGGGACAGGTATGACTGTTTTTTATTTCTTGTTTATTTTCAAAACATATAAAAATGGAACCCAAAAACAAATTACACTTTCGCGCATATAATTAAACTTAATGATTAGCATAGGTTTATTAATTTCAATACGTTTTACAGTGAAAAAGGCGATTAAAATTACACACTAAAAAATTTGCTCGAAAAAATAACTCGACTGCCGAAAATGACTAACAAGGCTGCCAAGTTTCACAATATCGTTGACATTAGAGCGTAGACTTCTTTGGAGAATCATGGGGTGTCTAGGCAATACAACATACAATCACAGTTTATTAGTTTAGATTTGCTTTAATATTTCAAAACGAAAATAAACTATTATACGAATTCGTTCCTATAATTACGCATTTATTACAAATTCTCATTGAGAGAGCAGAATTTTAGCAAGCAATAAGGTTAGAAATTTGTGCTCCAAAACTGAATAGAATAGTTGGTTGTCTTGAATATAAGCATAATTAAATACTGAAGCTAATTCAGAAGGTAAGCAGCACTGCCAACTTTGGAGAGATGACCATTAATTTCAATCAGCTGATCAAAATTGTTAGGACGCCGAACAAAATTTATATTAATTGTTAAATACTAGCTAAAGGTAACGAAATAGAAATGGCACATAATCCATTAGATAAAATACACGCGCTGGACGATATCGAGCAAGAAATTATATTGTGCCTACAAAGCGCAGGTTTGTATTCGAAAGAGCAGGTAGTTTTATAATGAAATTAAATTTTTCGGTGTCGATTTGTTTAGGTCAAGCATTACAAGAATTAAGCAAAGAAAAGTCTTCACAAAAAAGTGCAGAAACACAAACGCAACAATTTTTGAAATCATTATCGAACGTAGAATCAAAATTAAGCGAACAAATAAATTATTTGACACAAGTTTCTACCGGGCAACCACATGAAGGTTCTGGATATGCTTCGGCAAAAGTTTTGCAAATGGCTTGGCATAGAATTCAGCATGCGCGCTCTCGAGTTCGCGAGCTGGAAGAGTCCAAAGTAAGTTTTGATAAATAGTTTTTTTGCTGACCTTTAATGATGTATTATTTGTATTTAGGCGAAATATACACATGCTGCTCGACAGCAACAACAACAGAGGCAGCAGCAACATGCACAACAATTGGCACAACAGCAGCAGCAACAAATGGCTCAACAACAACAGCATCAACAAGGACAAGACAATTCTATCAATATAGGGATGTCAAATGTGGGGCCCGGACAAATCGGCCAGCAGCCACCGAATTAAAATGGATATCATAAAATATAAGTTCTTTAGTATACAAGTATAATATGAAGATATGTTTAAGAATTTAATTAATATATTTTTACATTATAGTAATGTCTAACAACTCATTGATACTAAATTAACTGGTTTGTTCTTTTTCACCTATTCTGAAAAAATTATTTTCGCAAACATAGCGTACACATTGTAATAACACATTACGTTCATGGCGTATGTCTGGCTGCAACAATTTTTCTAATAGTGTATTCTGCTTACATAAACGTGCTCTATAGTTTAGTCCTGATTTTTGTTTATTAATTCTGGAAAGCGTGTTAGTTTTTGTGTTTTTTTGAGATGGTTGCTGGTTATGTGCAACATTTTCACCATCCTTTTTTTCTACATTTGAAACTGGCTTTGTAGGCAGCGGTATGTTAGTTGAACGCTCTATTGGCGCTTCTTGCGGTCCTTCATCATCAGAGTATACCATTTCTTTATGTTTTGCCGTTTCCGAGTGTTCGCGCTTAGTTGAATGAACTTTTTCTGAATTATCAGTAAAAGAGATTGATTTTAAAAAATCTTTTTTATCCGAAATTTTATATTCGGAAAGCTCTTGATCCCCGTCCGAAGAAACATTTCCAATTTCATGAGTTGAATTGCTTCCAGACTTTAAATTGTTTTCTTGTCTTAGCACAGAGGTTGAATTTTCTATAAGCTCGTGGATTTTATCGACGGCATTCGTTGTCGATTCCTTATTTATTATTTCTTTATTCATGCACTTACATTCCACGCTTTCGTTCGTCTCCTCCTCGGATTCATCATCCGAGCCATACATGCCAAGTAAGCTTGTTAATACGTTAGTCTCTTTTAGTTTCTTTGGTCTTAAATGCTCATAATCACTGAGTTTACTTGTACCTCTAAACATTTTTATGCTATCACAGCACATATCTTCTTCTGTATTTACTGCACAATTTTGTTTTTTGGCTTTTTTAATCTCTTCCATTTTCTCGGTTTGCTTTTTTTCTTCAAACTTTTGCTGGTCTGCTTTTCTACGTCGTTTGTTATTATTACGTTTGAAAGTATTATTTCCCGGCCTTGGATTTAAATTTTGCGGTTGATCGGTTTTCGAGATTTGGTTTTTCAGAGTTTTCTGTGCTCTTTTTCGGTCCTCATGCTTACCGAACCTGCTCTTGATTTCCTCAAGGCGTTCTCCACGCTTCTCCCGTTGCTCTTTGGCACGTTGTCTCAATAGGGCATTCTCGAGAGTAGGATATCTAAAAAATACAAAGCAAAGTTTAAAAAAAATTGTTGTTTTCTCTTCCGTTTCTTACTTTCGTTTGCGTTCTTCACGCCAAGCAGCTATTTCTTCCGGTGAGCTCAATTTTTTAAACTTATCAAACAAACCAGAGCTATGAAGAGTGGCAACATGTTTGTCCATCATTGAAGGATGTCCACGGTAATTACAATTATCTATGGGACATTTTTCATGCTGAGCTTTATGTCGTCGTAAATCTTCTATTGATTGCAACTCCATATCACAAGCTTCACAGTATTGGGGTTCCGCCTGCGCTTCTTCTTTATGCACTGCGGATGTAACCTGTTGATGATTTTAGTAAATTAACAATAATCAAAAATTTTAACTCTCACCTTGTTCTTGACATTTGTTTGTAAATATTTTGCGGGATATGTTGCCCCACGTTTGCCATACATTGGTGGTGGTTGATGCCTTGCATGAAGCGTCATTCCAGATGGGGTAAGAAAGTGTGGCCTCGCTAGCACTGGTCCCTCCATTTTTTTATTGAAATTTGGGGAGGGTAATGCAAATTTTTGTGGCTTATCCATTTGTTAACTAATCTGATCCTCCGCGTGTTTTTGTTTACAAAATAAAAATGAGTTAAGTCTAATGTTTAGTGCTGCCACCATTTTTAAAACTACCAGTGCTGCCGCTTCCAATTCATATATGGCTCAGCTTACCAGACTTAATTATTATTTTAATGAATAATTATGGCTACAAAAGCTGTTTAAGAAAATTCGTCGCTTGCAATCGGGATGACGGCCGCGTAGGCCGAATGCATAGCATTCATCACTGACATTCGGAAGCCTCGGGCTCATTACCTGGTGCCACCAAAGACATAATAGAAAGGCTAGCCTAAAATAAAAACATAATTCTCTCGGAAGCGGCTTAGTATAAGCTGTAAGTCCCTCTATTCGTTGGAAAAACATCAAGACGCAAAACCACATAATGGGTGAAGAGCTCAGCCGAAAAATCGCTTAAGCGGTTACAAAGCGCCATATATATGTAAAATCGATTAGCTAATTTTTGTTACGTGCCTGTGCATATCTCTAGCGAAGGTTTCTACCAGCTAACCGCTGGAAATCACTTTCGCCTCACTTTGCAGACGAATTTGTTAATTTTCTGTGTACTGAATTACAATTGATACTACGGTTACAAAAATAGTTTCAATGGATTTGTAAAATGGCAGAATGTTTTTGCTCATTGAAATACTTGACTTAGGCAGTTTTCTCAGGGTAGGAATAGAAGTTGTATACGTTCTTTATTATTTAATAAAATAATATTTTCATTATGCTCCACGATATTTCTAAACGAATTCTCACAGAGGTTTGAATATCCATCTCAAGATTGAGAAAATTCCATATACGAATAACCGCAGCATGTTCTGAGTGCATGAACCGAATGTTCGTTACCGAGAATATTTCGATGGTAACTTTCTAGGGTTGTATGCAATCATCTGGCAAGTAAATAGAGTAGAAGACATACACTGCTGGTAAGACCAATTACATAAAGCACTCTTCTGTAATTACACTGGTGTGAAACCAAACCTGTTAACTAAGAAAAAATAACTCTTTAAGTACTGAATAAACGTGCGATAATTCTTTATTCTTATTCTTCCTAATTTATAGCAAAGTTTCAATAGCAAATTTTATATACGCAGTTACAAAAAAAAATTTTGAATTCAAACATTTTCATGAGCTTTTCAACACTAAGGCCATCAGCCGTCATCCAGAGAACGTATAACATATATATTCATATATATTCTACGTTCTCTGGTTGTCACGATTTGTCATTCTCTTAGCGGCGTTTTGTCTGGAAACGTGTTTTTTTTTGCTACACGTGTTTAATAGTTTTTCATCAATTTTGAAGTAATTTGGCATACATTTTGCACAGTGATAAATCTTCCAAGGGTGCTAATTCATTTTCAATATAGATAAAATGGCTGATGTCGCAGAAAATCCCGTGGACGAGGTGAAAAATGATACTTCGGAAGAGGTTGAGGAGGTAGCAACTGAAACTTCCAAGAAAATTACAAAGGAAAGTAATGATGCTTCTAATGCAGAAAAGGATGCAAATACAGTGGAAAAGAATGATGCTGCCGAAGCAAAGAAAGAAAGTTCTGAAGATGATAAGTCTGATGGGAATATCACTAAACGTGAACGTGCCATCATACGACAAGTGGAGTATTATTTCAGTAACGCTAATTTAAGGCGCGACAAGTTTTTGTTAGAACAGATTTCGAAAAACGAAGAAGGCTGGGTACCTCTTTCAGTTCTATTAACCTTCAAACGTTTATCATCATTAAGCACCGAACCGAAAGTAATCATCGATGCCATCATTAAGTCTGACGAAGGTTTGCTTGAAATTAGTGAGGATAAGGAAAAGCTACGACGTCATCCAGAGCGTCCAATCCCTGAACATAATGAGGAGCAACGTAAGGAAGTACAATCGCGAACTGCTTACGCTAAAGGTTTTCCCCTTGAAACCACCATGTCTGAGCTAATAGATTATTTCGCACCTTATGAAAAGGTTGTACACATTACTATGCGCAAATACCTTGATAAACCCACCAAAACATATAAATTCAAAGGCAGCGTGTTTGTCACATTCGACAAAAAGGAGCAAGCGCAAGAGTTCATTGAAAAGGATAAGGTAAACACATTATAAAACAGAATATCCATAAATCTCTTCAAATCTATATTCTATTTTTCAGGTACTTTACAATGAACGCGAACTCATACGTAAGTGGCAAGAAAAATACTTTGAAGATAAAAAAGAAGAATCGAAATCTAAAGAAAAATCCAAGAAGGGTAAAGAAAAGAAAGAAGAGGATAAGTTACAATTGCCCAAAGGCAGTGTTGTATACTTTGAAAACAGCACGGATATTGTGACACGTGAGCTGTTGCGAGAGGCTGTGGAAAAAGTTTCTGGTGACTGGGAAATCGCCTACATAGACTATAGCAAAGGCGATAAAACAGGTCATATCCGTTTTGCTGAACAGGACAATGGTTCAAAGTTCCTTGAAAAACTAAAGGAAAACAAGGTAACCATAAGAAGAGAAGACATCAAGAAAGCAATGTGCTAATATCATTTCACAAATTTATATTTTTAGCTAAAATTGAGTGATGAGTTGGAGCTTGTTTTACGTACTCTATCAGAAGAAGAAGAGAAGATTTACTTGGCCAAGGCTGTAGAACAAATGAAAAGTCGACGAAATTATCACAACAAAAATAAGTTCGGACATGGTAATCGGAAGCGTCGCGGTGGTCACGACAATCGCAATGATGAGAAGAGAAGGAAGTAAAAGGAATAAATGCAAAACTAATGCTGTAGTAATACGCCTGCAATGAGTGATCGAGTACATTTTATATTTATATGCATAGTTATATATATATAAAGATTAGGGCATAGGAGTAATGTAATGTCATAAGGAAATGGCATATTCGTATTTCCCCGTTTTTTAAATTCTAAAGAATTCGCACGTTTCTCGAACATGAATATGTTTGCATTTTAAGTCTGACGCTTGATTTTTTTTTTCATTGAATTTCTGAATGTGTGCAAAGCGAACATTATTTGAAATTGAAATTTTGGTACGTTTTTAGAAATAAACAATACATTACTACAACAATTTATCGAAAGCCTAGTATAAAGAACTCTTTTTAATAAAATATTATATAACATCAAATGTATTGTTAGTACTACGTTATGTAAAATACATTTTATGTATTCAACGTTTGGCTCGAATTCGCCAATGAAAATAAACGAAAAGGAAAGTTTCATAAATCAAAAACGAACGGTTCGCTTAATTTACTTTGGTTTAATTAGAGAGAAGAACGGGTGGGTACTCGCATTATTTATTCTCATTTTGTATGTTTCACAAAAAGCTTAAAAACTTGAATTCTGCAACACTCTGCAACTTACCGAAAGCAAAAAATTTACGCACATAAATTAAAGAAAATTTTCAGATTTTTAATTTTTTTTATTTTCTTGTAATTTAAATTTATTTTGGTGCTACGACTCTTTTAAACACTTATTAATCCACGTGGATGTACTATAAAATGATAATAATATTTACTTATTTTATGTATGTATGTATGTACATGGTATATGTCTTAATGCGCTTGCAATTAATTTGAAGTGTGTGTGGGTAATTTAAGGAATAAATGTGTAAACAGCAATCCGTGCATTTCCACTGGAACTTTTTGTAGTTGTATCATATTTTCCACATTTCTTCAGCACAAGAGTGCATAGAATTCTATTTTCAATGCATTAACCTATGAAATACATCAATAAATCTGCTTATACATATGTACGTATGTCAGATATTATATACATATGTATGTATTTATCCACATTAACTGATTGCTATTAGCAAATGCTATTTTTATTGATTTGATTTTTTATTTTATTTTGTTCAACATTTGATAAGTATGCCATAGAATGCAATTACAATAAATTTTAATATCTATGCTTTTGATTTGGGGCTTTTTGAATGTTTCAAAGACTTGTTTCGGTAAGAGTGTTTGCTGGTGAGTTGAAAAAAAAACTGAAGAAATTAAAAAGTGTGCAAAAAAACTATTATTTCTTAAAAAAAACTAACAGATTTTTGAAAATCCATTTTTTTTAATTATTGCTTCATGCTAAAATAGTATTAAAATGAAATTATTTACAAGTATTAATAATTGTAATTAAAGTACGGTACTTTTAATCAAATTTCAGCAACTACATATTGGTGAAACAAGTTCAGAAACCTCAAAAGTTAGCTGTGATGTTTTATTGCAGAATTGTGATATAACAGTTTTTTTCTTTTCTCTTTTCTTTGTACATTTGTGGCTTATTAGCTTTGAAATATAATATATATTTGTATTTATGTATATCGTATCATTATTGGTAATATATCCTTCAAGTTGTGGAATCATTTGTTATATTTTACAAAACTAAATACGTAAATCGAAACTTAAAACATAAAAATATATGTATGCATGTACTCGAAAACAAAAAGCATGAAATCGAAAACAATGTTAATACCAATACGAATGTGACTAACAACTAAATTACAAGCAATTTCACAATATCTCTATGTTCATATATATATGTATATGTGTTATGTGTCTTAAATGTATGCCATTAATATATGTATTTATGTATGTATGTATGTATGTATAAATATGTCTAAGTTTATATTATTTAATTGTAATAGTGACATTTCTCTACTGTCTGTCTTATGCTCTGCTGCTTATCCTTATTATGTTTCTAGGTGTGTACGTATTGTAATTAGCGCAACTTAATTCATTAAGTATTAAATGTGTATGTGTGTACTCGTGTGTATATTATAAATACGGATTTGCAAAGTGTACAGCATAAAACGCGATATTTATTTCTAATTGTGATATCTAATAGCAAATACGTATGTATGTCTGTATGTTTTGTAAATCTATTTTTGTTCACTTTTGTTACGTTTAAAACTAAATTTCATTAGTTACCGTTAAATATTGCGTTATTGGTAAGTGTTCGTAACATTATCACGTGTACAAAATTTTAATATTAAATAAGATAGTAATGTATATAGGTATGTAGAAATAGATGTCATGTAAAAAAAAAGAACAAAAACAAAGAATTTAAGAACGAAAACTGTTAAATATATTGCTCAAACTTATTGAAAAACGGCAAAAAAGTAAGTCCAAATAACACATAAATAAATATATATATATATAAATCAAATCATTTCCTTTTGTACATTTCTCCCACAACCATAATTTCTGGATTTTCTTAAAGAGAAGGAGACACATTGAAATTGCGCATAAAATAAAAGAAAAAATGGCAAAAGAAATCCTTCTTCGCATTGCTTAAGTTTTAAAAGATTTAAAGAAACAGAAGCTATAAATGGGTAAATTGAAAATTTCCAGCGTTTAAATACCATAAAATAAAATTAAATCAGTAAACTCCTCAAATGAAATTCAATACAAAAATAAATTAATAAAAATAACTAAAAAACGAAACTCAGCTGATTATAGCAAACTTTAAAGCGTATTCCGAAACTGTATACAAATGTAATTTTTGCTCCAAAATAAATTGTGCTCAAGCGCACACACATACATATATTGTACTTTAAATATGCTTTGAAATTAACCGTCAAATATGCGTTGATCAAGTTTTGCTCTGTTTTTGAGCCGTAAGCTCCCAACTCCAAACGAACGCTCGTATAACGGTCAGCGTAAAGCGAGTACACATACAGACATATTTGAATAAATATAACAGAATTTCCTTTTTATTTACACAGTTAGGGCGTGACGCATGCTTGGAACAGAATAGTTTTCCAATTTGTTGTTTTTTGTTTTCGTTTTTTCTCGCATAATCGGCGAACTTGTTGCTGCTATTTATACACCAAATTCGAACATATCAATAAAGTTGTTTAGTTGTTGTTGTTGCAGTTTATTTACAAACACTAAGCGTGTACACCACCCCTCCCAACGCTTCGAATGGGTGTCTATATGTATTAAGATTAGTTTTTTTTTTAATTTTTGTGGAAGAGGAGGAAGAGTGGAGAGTGGCTGGAAGTACTTGCAGTGCATTCCCCACATCAACCACGCTTGCACAGCACATTTTCAATTATTTCAATGTATAAACAAGTCTTGCCGTCCTCTGTGGTCAGTCTGTCCCAGCAGTTTTACGTTTAGCCTGCGCTTTCTCGCGCCTGCCGTCCGCCTCCTTTCACTTGTACACCGGCGACAGATCGAGCGTGAGATTTTGCAGCGCCCGATTACGCGCCGAGGAGCGTGTCTGTTTGGAGGAGCGTGTGATCTCCATGACAAGTCCCTTACAGTCATTGCAGACAGTGACCAGCTCGCCGCGCATATTCTCCTTTTGCTCCTGACTCAGGTGTGTGCCCGATGCGGAGAGCGTGAAGGTGCGTGAGAATTTGGTTCTGCAAAAATGCAAATAAAAAACATTCTTTGGTAAAGTGAAGTCAATAATTAGCAGTTAGTCACTCACTTTCGATCCAAGGTGCTGCTGTTGGAGTGTGCGCGCGCGGGGCTATTGGCTGGCAGACTGCGCGGGCCCTCCATGCTGCGCGACATCAAGTTGATGTGCTTGTTGTTGTTGGCGTACATACTGTTACCATTTGTCATATTGGCGTTGTTGTAAGAAGACGTCATTGCGGAAGCATCGTCAGCCTCGATGGCTTGGCTGGTCACATAGCTGCTGCCCGTTCTGCTGGACACGACGTGGCCCGTGCCGGGCGTACTCATATTAGATCTTTGGTGCTTGGGCGATGACGGTGCACTACCCACCGTGTTGCGAGTCTGCAAACGGCAAGATATGCTCATGAAGTGTTGAGCCATAGTGTGAAGAGCTTAAAGTAACTCACCTTACGCTCTGACTCGGAGCGCAACAGACGCTCAATCAATGATTTGGGGAAGGTTTCGTCCAGTATGTTGCCCGTGGAGGACGAGTGCGTGTGATGAGCGTGATGTGATGGTGATGGCGTGCTGGAACCAGCCGGACTGGCTAGCAGCGAGGGCGATATCAGGACAAGCGGCACATTGCGGAAATGCTCCGTTGGTATTCTCATCTGTAGGTTAGGCGTATTAGATTTTGTATGATAAAAAAAAGTATCTACAAAGAGATTGGTCTTACCTTTGTATAGCATTTGGAGCAGACAGTGCGCTGACACAATTTACATTGTATACCCCATGGGCCGAATATTGAGAAACGCGTACGCAGACACAGGAAGCAGACTTTGCGCTTTTCGACATCCTCCTTGACACGCACACCCACAGGCAGTCCTTCCAGTTCGGCCTTCGTCATAACCGAACGTATGTGCACGATTTCCTCCAGTGTCAACGAGAGACGATCGTCACCACGTTCGAGCCAGGTTTTCTCATCCAGAAAAGACTTACTCCATGGGCCAACCGAGGATGACGAACGGCTGCAATTGCTGCTGTGGCTGTTAATCATGCCGCCGCCACCCATAACAACGCCACCGGCGCCAACACCAGCATGCGTGTTTGGGCTTTGGGAGCGTTTCAACTGTTGTTGCTGTTTTTGGTTATAATTGTTGTGTAGCTGAAACAAAGATATTTGTATAGCAAACTCAGTCAGACCTAAGCTGAAAAGTACGATTCAAAATACCTGCTTAGTTGTGCCTGCAGCCGCATCTGTACCGCTTCCACCTGCTGCAGCCGCATCTGTACCGCTTCCACCTGCTGCAGCCGTGGAGCTCACATCCGATTGCCGCGACTCGGGTCTTGTTGGCGGCATCGAGTGCGTCTCATCAAAATTGCTCTGACAGCCCACAATTGTGTGGCGTCGAAGCGACGCGCGCCGTGACTCGCATTGTGTGGCCAGGTCGTAAGCTGGTGAAGAACGTGAGCGAAAGTTGGGTTTTAGTACAAATTTTTGAGTGAAGCAGGATGTGATAAAGTTGAGTTGTTTTGTTGGTGCAAATATTGATTGTGTGTTAGTGATGTTTGTATGTATGTACTACATATATGTACATATGTAGTGAGCAATGCAAAACATAATAATTGTTGTGGTACATGAAAGGATGGCAAAATTCCTACGTGAATCGGTGGATGTGATGTGAACGAAATAACTAATGGTTGCCAATTTAAAACGGTAAAAGTCATGCTTCCTATGTATGTGTGTATATTTCGTGTGTTTATTCGGTCATGTTAAGTAATGATAATTATTATGTGATTAGTAACGGTTATTACTTAAAAATATGAAATAATTTTATAATTTTTTACTTTCAAAAGATTTCCGAAGGGAAATTCGAAAAAGGGTGTTTTCTTAGACGTGTGGTTTTCAAGGAAAGAAAGTGGTTCGCCGAAATGCTCTCTTCCAAGGCGTCAATCGTCACGAGGTTTTCCGCTGAGACAAGTGGCTCTTAGCCCACAAAAAATAGTCACGATCTTGAAGGCTACGGCCCAGACGCGCTGGCTTTATGGCATGTAGCGCTGTCTTGTTGGGACCAAAAGTGGGTCCTTACTTAGAGGATGTTCTGGCGTGCCCTATAGTCTTCACTATTGACTCTAACATTATGTGGTCGGGTTTATTTTTGAAGAAATACGGTCCGTCCAATAGTTTCCTTTGATCGTAGAGCACTTTTTGAAGATGTAACGGCGGCCACGGTAGCCGAATGGTTAGCATTACGTACGCCCATTCGGAAGGCCATAGTATATATATATATATATGGTACGACCAACATGCTTCAGTCGCTCCTCGACAGGGTTTGTCAACCCCACTGGGTGTATTTATGACATGAAATAAAGATTCCTCATAAAAATCCATTTGCCGTTCGGAGGCGGCTTAGTACAAACTGTAGAGCAGGATGAAAAATCGCTTCAGCTGTTACAAAGCGCCAATTATGTATATAACGGCGTCTCTACAATGGCTTGTGGATCGTCATCACGTCCAACCAACTTGTGTGAAATCGTGATAGGCGCCCATCTAATTTTAGGTCCATTCCCCGAACGTGCCCTCCGTTTGATGGTCCTTTGGCTTCAACTCCTGCACGAGTTGGATTTTGTAAGCCCGGAAACCAAGACCCCTTCGCAAAATCATTCCCGAAGTGATCAGCACACTTCGGTTGTTGCGCGCGATGGAGGATAGAGCCATTCGGGTCTTTTTCAATACTCCGCTTCACAGCAGCAATAGACTTTTCGTTGGTTAGACTACGGCGTCTCCACTGGAGTAAATGTGGGCGAAACCGACTCGTGGTTTGTGGCTTGAATCATCGACTGTCCTGCGTGGTTATGTCGACCGAATATTGCACACGGTGCCCAATGTGTTGTCTGAATCGGGCCATTGCTTTGGTAATAAATTTTAGTTTTCCAGAAAAACTCGGTTCTTTATGAAGTGGCAAACCGAATTGGTTATAAATCAATTAACAGTTGTTAGAAAGAATAACTTCGAAAAGAGTATTGACTCTAAAATACCCTTCTGAACGATTATTTCAGTCTATGAAAGTGATTAACACAACGAGATTGCAAGCGTTTTACTGAAGATAAGGGTCATTCGGCGAAGGTGGGTCTCGGTAGAAGGATTAGTATTTATAACTAAGACCTAAGGGCTAAGCAGAGAATCGAAGAAATTCTTCTAAGGAAAATTTAGGATTAGGTCATGACCTTATATGAACATATATGCAGACTCGTTCCCAAATAACGGGAATCAATCAATACACCTTATGCAAACTAACAATTTTCCAACCATGAAAATTTATCGCCTTTCATTCTGCCATTAGGTCCTTCTCAAAAAAGACAAATACATACAAACAAAATGGCAGGACGAGTATTTACAAATGTACAACAAATCTACTAGATATAGTTAACGGTGGAAAAAAACATACAATCAAATCGAAAATGAAGGGCAATAAAAGCAATAAAAGCCAAATACATACATACAATAATGAAAGAAACAACAAAAGAACAGAGAATATGCAAATGAGCTAAATTCAGTTCGTTCCCTTCTTCATTTTATTTCGCCAGTGTTTTTCTAACTGCCAAAATTACAACTAATCAGCTGCGCGTAGTATGAGCCTAACAAAGTGTTAATAAAAATGATGGTTCATACAAACTGTTGTTGAAATGCAGAAAAGGCTTAACTGTCTTTTTTTCAATATTTCCAATTTTTTTGAATTTTGTTTCGAATCCAAACTCGAATTGATTTTTTTTTCGATTATATTTTTTCTTCTCTTTCAAAATTAATAAATTATCAGTTAGTGCTTTGCCGTGTTCTACCAACAAAACCGTGGTGGCATTTTAGGCGCTTAACAGCGCTTGCAACGCTTTAAAAAAGCATGAGTCACAATCGAATGACATGCGAGCGAAGAAATGAATGAAATGACAGTGGACGCTAGTACAGACATATACACATATACAAATGAATGTTGTTTTGTAGTTTTATACTCGTATACGCGTGCATGAGCATGAAAACGGGCTTAGCGCTAGCACAAGACAAGGCATAAAAGTATAGAAGACAATGTTATTCGCTGATACATATGTATGCGTGTTGAAGGCGATGTAAGTATGTATTTTATGTATGCAAGAGTAAGTTTTTTGGTCGAAAATGTGTTTAAATTTGATATATATTTTAAGCAATCTTGTTTTTTATTCGCTTGCGAGAGCAGATGAATGATTGAGAAAGTGAAGAGAGTAATAGAGCAGAAAGAGAAGTAGCATAATCATATTTACATTCCAGCGCGTTGTCGAAGAATCTATGGTACTCATCCTCGGTGTACGAGTCCTCTGTAGAGTTGTTTTGTAGCATAATTTTCGGCCCATGAACGGAGTTATTTCCGTCAATATTTATCATTCAATTAATTTATTCACGTTTTTTTTTTTATTTTTGCGCATTTAATTCGCATTTAAACGCATTTGATTGTAAAGAGGAGAATATACAATATTTGAAATGATTTTTAGAGAGTTTAAATCAGTTTTCGCTCAAAATTAGCTGTTTTGAAAATATTTGGTCTTAGTTTTCTTTAACATATTTTTAGGCGCACGAACGTGTAGGTTAACTAAATTCATTAAACGTAACTATTTGGTTAGCGGTGTGGCTTGGAGAGTGCTGACTCATTTACAATAAATAACTTAAATAACAGCAAAAACTTTACATACATGCACAACTACATATATAAATAAAAATATTACCAACTTAAATACAATTTTACAATTTTTCCTTTATTCTTAATTCTAAGTTAAAGTATAAAAATACTAATTCGAGATTTTTTTGGTTTTCTACCGACTAAAGGTTTTTTTTGTTGAATTGGTCAAGTTTTTGCGCTAGATCCAATTTACACTACGGGAATTCTATTGGAATTCACATTTTTTAAATTAATTTTTTTGGAGCTTTCAACCTTCACCGCAGCGTTTTTTTTAGTAAAACTATTATTAAAATTTATGGGTACCGCGTTATTAAGCAAAAATGTATTTTTTTTAAATATTTTTTTTTTTTGATTTTTGATTTTGTTCTTTGTGCTCATAGTAACAACAAATGAAGGAAACTAATTAACTAAAATGTACATGTTGCATATTAAATTTAAAATTAATACAAAAAAAAAACAATCAAATACCTTTAAATATACCAATTAAGCAAAAACAAGTAATTTTTTGATCATAAAAACAAAAACACAGCAACCATTTTATACAGAAATAAATACAATATTAAAATGTGGAAGAAAAGAAAAATAGAAACAATAATAAGAACCATTAGATGAAATTAAAATAAAATAATAATAAAAAGGAAATAAAAATCAAAGCCACTGGGCTGCACGACCGCCACATATTTTTAACAAAAGATTTTTTTTTTGGCTAAAATGGTATTTCAAATGCTCCAGCAAGCTCCAGAAGCTATGCAAAGCTGCTTTTTGGAGAATCCTTGTAGAAAAAAGTTCAATGAGGAACGCATTTTTTGCATGTTCGAGAGAAATTCCAAAACTTTCGAATATTTCTGGGTTCAAAACAATTACGATTCTTCTGTTCCAACTTTCTGTTTGGAAAAATAAGTATTTATTTTTTGTTCGAAAAATTCGAATTCACTTTTTGGTTCGTAAAATTCGAATATATGGATTGTATGTGCATATCTTTTGTTCGAATAAGCTTTTTGAATATTAAAAACATACACATTCCTGGAGCAAATCTGAGAAGGGGTTTACATGAACATATTTCGAAAAAATAATTAAATTTTTAGGATTACATTTTTTTTTTAATATTTGCAAAAAACCTTTTAATTTATCAAAATTTGGACCTTAGAAAAAAGGAAATATTTTAGCTTTTTTCTTAAAAAAAATTGTAAATGTTTTTCTTTGTTCGAAAGATATTTATTCTGACATGTAAGTTCGAAATAATTGAATATTTGAGCGTAATACGTTTTTTGTTTTGAAATACGAGTACATATATGAAACATACACAAATTTTCGAAAATTTTTTTGAAGGATCGTTTTCTCAGACAATTGAGGGTTCTGCTTGATGTTACAGTATTTAAGAAAAAATTCAGAAAACGCCAGTTTTTGGTCTCCTCATTTGAGCTTATGAGCAGTGCTTGCATTTAGAATACCAACCTGAAACCCAATTCAATCGCACACCATACATAAATACGGTGTGTGTGTGTATATTTGAGGAACATACACCCTCCTCTAAAACTCGGTTCAAACTTACTTGTTCGGCGTAGCACCCGCGTAGTCAGCGCTGATGGCAATTGTGTTGCGGGCGCATGACCCCCCTTCGCATTCGCATTAGACACACCGCCTCCTCCTACAGCGCCACTGTAGCCGCCGCCCATAGACATGTAGCCGCCGATCGGGTAAGGAGGCATTTGTGGCTGTGAGCAGACGCCAACATGTGCGTTTTGACAGTTACCATATCTGACAGTTGACGTTGGCTCATCAAAGAAGTTGTCATCATCCTGCGGGAGAGAGTGCACGATATGAGAATATGTATAAAGAAAAATAAATAAGTATTTGTTGTTAGAAATACTTTATATGAGTAATATTAAATAGGTATGTCTATTTGGTGTCTGGCGGTGATGACTACTCTGGGCTTATAGGTCATTCACCACAGGATAATCATCAGTTCATATTTTGACTACTTAGAACACATACATACATATAAATGCCCATTCGATTTGACTGGGCGTTGTCACGCACGGCAAGTAGGCTGGGAGTGGGCGATAGTCATACTTTTGTACGTTCTGTATATATGTACGAGTATGTATGTGTATGTGTATGTGTGAATACCAATGTGACAAATAATTTTGACTGTTTGTCTGTGGGCTTAGTGCATTCACTTCCGCAAAGCCTTGGCCTCAGATGACAAAATAAATAATTTATTGTGAAACCGTTTGGCATTTTCGCAATATTTGTTTTTCATGGGCTCAATAGGTGAGGTGAATCTTATAACTTATAGTTACAAAAATATTGTCACGCTTACTATGAAGCCTACTCCATTTGCGAAATGATTTTGAGGTTATGTTCTCTACAAAATGGTTTTATTGAAAAAAAAGTTATGATTAAATGCATTTTATTTTTAAATAAAAAAGAAATAGCAATAACTTCGCAATATCGCGTTACCCATAATTAATTTCGAAATTGGCCGTTGAGGCGTTGAGTGCCAATCAGTGACCAAAGACTTTCCAATTCACCGCACATTGACATTTGGTTTTTGAACATTTTTCGCCACATTTGTCAACAACAATCCGATCGAAGCCACAAACGTGGCTCTGCCACTGCCAATTCCAGCTGAAAGTGAATTAGCTGTGTGTGTGTGTGTGTGTGCCTGCTATGGGTCAGTGGATGCACATGTAAATATTTTATTTATTTTTATACGTGTTTGTATATTTCAAAGTGTGTTTGAGGGCCTCAAATGTGGTCTCGCCTTGGCATTTCGCGGCAAAGAAAATAAATATTCTTAAATTTTACCTTCGAAAATTTGCTCTCAGACTTTGTTATGGACTTGCAATGAATTTTACAATATGTGTTTCTATTTCTTGAAATAATCTTGCAATTGTTGATTGTTGTTTGTTAACAACTTTTCTGTTCTACATGTTTTTTTTTTGCTTTTTCTTTCTTTTTCTCGCGTCTTGGAATTTGGTTTATTTAAATCTACTTCCACATATGCAGCAAGTAGTACTGAGTGCATGACCACTGGCAGGCGCATGAAGTCAACTGTAATTTATACAAAATATTACCGTTATTACCGAAATGCATGCCTTCATTGATTTGGCTAAACCAGAAGCGAGAAAAGTTATTTAATAAAATTATGTCACGAATTCAGCAAAATTTCGCAAACTTTTGAATTATATGCATATGCACGGGTATATGCAATTTTAATATAAAACACGTTTGTTAAGTATGTATGCATGCAAGCATGTGGGTGGGAATGCAGCCCTTCAAGTTGCACCGTTCACTTGCACACAATTTTTTAACATAAGGGTGGTCCGAAAATGGGTTTTGCTTACATTAAAATATTTTCTTTTATTTGAAATAATTAAATTTTTACTTTTAACAGTGCTAAAATAGGAAATCCATGCATATTGTAATAAAAATCTTTATATCGTTTAAAAAACAACATATATATATATATGTATATGTATATAAAAATTAATAAATACGTATTTACATCAGTACTCAGAATTCCACGCTCAGTTATACATAGCTATTCAAAAGCTTTGTTCTAAACTGTTATTGTTTTTTATGAAAAAAAATTTTTTTTTCTAAAAATGATTCTTGTTTAAGATATCTTGCTTATATAAACTTATATATAATTGGCGCTTTGTAACCGCCGAAGCGATTTTTCGGCTGAGCTCCTCCTACAATTTGTGATTTTGCGTTTGGAAAAAAAAATCCCTTTTACTTTGAATATATTCGTTCTTAGAGGAATGTTTTAATAAAAAATATTTTAATTTTGAACTTATCAAATTGTCTTGATTAAAACTACTTCTTAAACCAAAAGCATCATGATTTCAAAGGCTAAGCGCTGCCAGTAAAATGGAAAAACTAAAAATTCTGTTTATTCTTTTTCGTTCATTTAAAGTAAATGTTAAGCTTTGTTGGACCACCCTAATAATCTACTCACTACTGACTTATACAAAAGCTCAAGATTTTCAGATTATTCAAGCCAAATGCTTATTATATTTACTCGCTGCAATTGCCTTTCTAAACTATGCGAGTACAATTTCAACCGGTTGCATAACCCGGTTCCCGCTGAACCGAAATACTCGCGCACTGTTTATTATCAAATAATGTGGCCAACAGCCGCTGCCACAAAGCGGTGGCGGCATGAGGAGCACTCGGTGCAAGTGCCTATTTAGGCACTTAAAGTACAATATGTATGCGAGTGTGCTTGTGCGTGTGAGACTGTACCTGCAACAGCGAGAAATCCACTTTGATTAGCCGCTGCTTGGAGCGCGGCGTCGTATGCGGTTCCACGTTTTCTGTCATTTTCAATGCGTTCACTGCTGCATGTGTTGGTCCTGCTGCTGTGGATTTTAACGTTATTGAAGATGTTGAATGATTGAGTGTTGCTGCTGGTGATGTTGTTGTTGTCATTAATGTTGTTGTTGGTGGGAGCACTGCAAGTAGAAGGAAAGAAGGGGGGGAGATTGTAGTTAAAATTAATGACTGAAATGAGGTGAAACTTAATTGAAATTTAACAATTAAAATGACACTCACGAAATTCTTTTTATAGATTTACAGCACAAATATAATTTTGAATTGACGGCAAAAGAAAAGGATAAAGCTCAAAAGATGTTAGAGCTTGGTTCAAATGTAATTTTTCTGAGTTTATTTCTCACACATACATATAATTGACAATAGTAATTTTGTGAGGATTTTTGCGAATTGAGTTGAATATTATGATGTTATTTCTGATAAAAGAATAACTGTAATAATAAGTCCCTTTAAGCCCTAGTTTAATATCATATTTATTTTCCATAGATTTCATATAATTTATGCATATTTTTTTTTTATCAGTTATGAGTTTGTAAGCACTAATAGAACTGAATTCAAAATCATCTTGCAACTTTAATCAAATAATACAAAATATAAAATGTAAAATAATTATGAAATAAAATTATTTTAATAAAAAAAAAAATACTTCATGCACATACATACCCGTACGTACATATTTAAAAAAAAAAAAAAAAACAAATACCCAAAATTCTCACACATTTTGTCAGTTCATACAAAATCACACCCGAAAAGCAAAATAAAAAATAACATGAGGCTTTTTCCGATATAAGTCTTAAAAAGTTTAAAAGGGAATAAAATATTGAACTTTTGGATTAAGCGTTTTGATGCGAAAACTTTGTTTGTACTGATGTGTGTGTAATGAAATTTTGACAGTCTTGCAGGGCAAAATACTAACACAAACCAGCAACAGATTGCGCGATTGAAATATATATGCTAATACTTAGCAGTCCCGTTTTTCGTGGGACAGACCATATGTGTATACTTTATAAACTAATTGTTCTTACAACACCAACCGGGCTTAGCAGAACATATGTCTATTTATTATATATGCACATTTCGAACGACAAACAACAACTCCCGTTTTAATGGCGACAAGACTGGCCAGCAAATGTCAGCTAACAAAAAAGCATTAATGTTGTAACGTAATACAATAAATTAGCAGCAGCGAGTGTAAGAAAAATATACAAATAATACACCATATTTAAATGCAAACTGCTCACGCATGTTTGTAAGTGTGTGCGCTACTTAGAAATGACTGATATGCGCCAAGAAGTGAACATAAATTCTTGTAAAACACCTAAAAAAAAGTTCTCAACGCGTTTGCCTTACACGTGCATGCATGTGTGTGTGTATATGTATATGTAATGTTAAAGTTATGTTCCTGTTTTCTCGCTAATTAACAGTTTTCTCCCTGCCATAGGCATAAATAAAAAAAAAAATATAAAAGACCCGGCTTAAGACACCAGTCAATGTGGTGAGCTGCGATGAAACAATAAATTAGTTATTAAAAGTGTCAGAAAAATATCAGAAAAAAAAACATTAATATTGTATTTGAATGATACAAATTCGGCAATCTATTTTCAAATGTTTTCAGCTGCAACAAGTGTGTTTGCAAATGACGAAAAGTAAGCGAAAAACGGGGAAAAAGCAATGGCAGACAATGTCAATAACCTACACTTGATTAAAAATCAATACACGCTGTAAATACAAATTAACAAGCGAAAATACTCATATACATGTGTACATATATACCTCCTATCATTGCTAAAATCTAGAAACGCCCAAAAAATTGTTAATTTCACTTTGGAAATGTGAATTTGTAAAAAAAAACTGTCACAGAAAGAGGCATAGAGAGTAAGAAGTGAAACTTCTCTGATAAATTATTTCAGAATTTGTGCTATTATTTCTTTTTTTTTGCATTTTAATTAATAGTTTTTTAAATATTTAATTTCTTACCTTCACTGGTCTGTTCTGTATATATTTCATATTATATAATTTGGTCAAGTAAAATGTCATCCATTATTTTTCCAATAAAAGCTTATTTATCTGTAACTATCTATAAGCGCTATTGGATTAAACTAGATGGCGATAGAAAGATGGTTTCTAAAACTTTAAAAGACAAGGGGAGTATTGTTGATCACTTAACTCAGTGGTGTCTGAGCGGATGTCAAAGATGGACATCAGCAAAGGTAAAATTCGCTTTGATAAAGGCGAAAATAAAAGTGAAGCCGTTGAAAATCTGGTACTGTTACAGTCAATCATTCAAAATTTTGTAAAAGATGATCGACTTTGTGAAAGACCAACTGTTGAAAATATCAACAAAATAATGAAAAAGACAACTTTGACAGTCAAGCGAACCGTGTTTCGATTGCCAAGGAGCTAAAAATTGCATTAAAAACAGGCTGGACACGCAAAGAAGCTCCATGTATGGTTGCCACATGAGAGAAAAACCCTCAAGGGCCTGCGAAACAATGCTGAATCGTAGCAAAGTCAACCCATTTCTGTAGCAGATGGTGATAAAAAGTGGATCACTTACATCAATCTTAATGGAAAATGGTCATGGTTGACGGCCAGAAAGGTTTTATATGTGTTTGGTTGGGTTGGCAAGGAACCAACCACTAAGAGCTGTTCTCCTATGGCCAAATTCTGTCAGCAATCGGACCGCCCAGAAGAGCGCAGCTGCGCTGGTGGATGTTTTAGCTGGTGAAGAATCGGTCTTAGGGACAAGGGTTTTTATTAGAGACGCATAATAATATTACCTTCAAAATGGCAAAAGATTATCGAGAAAAACAATTTGGCATAACTAAAGCCTTCAATTTAATGCAAATATATTTATTATACCTTTAAAGTGAGGCGTGGGCGTATCATGCGTCTTCATTGAAATTTTTTTCACGCAATTTTATAAAAGTTTTGTGTTCCTCCAATGAAATTTGAGGATTGTGAGTACTGCTCTTTTATGGCATATTTTACCAAGCATCGAAGTGAATCTCTATAAAAGCGCTAAAAGGCGAAAAAAAATTTCAGCGCGAAATGCGATTCCTTCCACACACTCAGCAGCTGCAGTTCAAGCGCTTACGAGATGCACACGCTTTGCAGTAACATGAATTTTTAATGATTTGCACACAAGCTTTGCCCCGGAGCAAATACGCAACACAATTTCAGAACAACAAAAGAGACATTCGGCATTCGGTTCTCGAGGGAGTGGGAGACAGAGAGCAGGAAGAGGGGGGTAGTGAAAGTGGTGAAGGCTTTTATAGTTAAAAGCATATTCACCTACTTATGTTTCTACTTACCTAAAATACACACACACATACATATGCAAGCATATATTCCTCTATATTCGCCCATAAGTAGATGACTGTTTGAGCGAAGTATTGAGTGAGCACTTACAGTGTCGCAGAAAGTAATACGTACAAACTAACTCTGCACTTACTATGCACAGTTGTATGAGTTCATTTTTATTTGGCCTCATGCCATGGCAACCAAGTATATGGGTCACATGGACTTTTGTTGTTTTTTTTTGTCCTATTCTCGCTCGACGGCGTACATTTACTTCAGTGGAGTATTTACGCTGCTACCGAGAGAACTTATGGACAATTTAAATGCCCAGCAAAGAATTAAATAAAAGAAATATTTTTTGTGAGAAAAATAAAATATTAAAAACAGAGCCCTACAGCGAGCTTATTGAGGCTAGTAATCCCTTCGAGTGTTACATGCTGCTGTAACATTAAAATTGCATAAAAAGCTTGCTGCATACATTGGGGCTGAAGAAGTCGAATGACCGACTGGCAAGGCGAAAGTGCATGTTTTGGTGCAAGAAACTAAAGAATCCTGCGATCATGTTTAACATTACTACCCATTTTAAAGTTTTAATTAAAAAATAAATAATGCGAACCAAAATACATATATGTAAATGAAATTGTAAAAGTTTTAAAAATTTATGGTAGGCTAAAATCTCAATACCTCAAGTGAAGAACGTGGAAGTAGATCTGCATAAACTATCAACATAATAAAAATTAAAAAAAAAAATTAATTCAGACGTATAACGGAACATCTACCAGGACAAAAAGTCCATACAAAGCTTAAACTTATTAAAAAATGTGCTACACACAGAGAAAAGATGTTGGCTCTGCATGCAAGTTGTGGGCAATCCTGGAAGCGATCATTACATTCATTTCAAAGGTTTCCCATCTGCTATTGCCTCTCCAAAAATTCAAAGATTTGTGTTGAGCAAGCAGCATTTGGGGGAAGAGCAGCTGAACCCCATCGAATGCTTGAAAAAGTTTACGGTGAGTCTGCGCCGATAGATAAATCATGTAAATAGACTTATCAGCGCTATCAAAGTGATAATTTTGACGTAGAAGACCAAGGATGTCTTGTTGGGACTAGAGCGCGGTGCATTATGAATACTATCAATTCGTTTAACCCAGAAACGACTGCAAGTCAAGAGATGGTGATTTTGCCATATGATAACGCTCGGCCTCAACTACCTGGAAACGCTGAAATGGGAGCTCTTACCCCAATCGCTCTCCTCACCTTGCCTTTCGACCGAAGTCTTCTTTGACGGAGGCAAAATGATTTGGGCGGTCGCCGGCTCTTGTCTTTGAAAAAATCGAAGAATGGCGCAATGATAAGATCGAAACAGAGGGAACTTATTATGGTATTAGAAAACCACCAGAGAGATGGGAAAAAGTATGATGTGTTTTTTTAATTTTTTCGAATAGAAAACACTTTTTGAACACAAACAGAGCGAATTAATTTGTAAACCCAATACTTTCAAATTTTTCAGTAAATTGACAGAAAAATGTGGATAAAAACGAAAAGTCGGGGTAAAGAGTCGTCGGGATTTCGTTTGTTTTACGTAGTGTCGGAATGTGTCTTGCTTGAACTTTTAAAAATTTTCTGGCTCATGGATTATGTGCTGTGCTTCCAATCCTGTTCTATTCCAAACTATTGTCTCATTTATGCCGCTCTGTTGTACCCACGCAATTAATAATAATTTTTTTTAGTAAAGAATGTAAGAATATGCCCCTCAACACACAGTTAAACATTCTATGTATGCTTCGATTCAACTTTCAAACACAAAAGGATACAACCAAAA